GAAACGCTGCTGCCTGGGCATCAAACATTGCTAAGTACGCTTTGAAAGTCCATGACCGTTCTTCCCAATCATGTGGCCTGCCAGAGAAAGTCGGGGGAGTCGGGGCTGCCATAGAGCAGCTCGCTCCATTAAAACCTCGCATAGTACAAGGCGTCCTCGCCATTACGGAGGCGGTCGCGGGTAACTTATCCCACTTATAAGTTTTTATTAGTACTTGTGACTACTTATCAGAACTTATATGAACTTATGTATGTATTAATATCTTCGGATATCTTTTTTTTATTCTTTTTTTAATCTTTTTTTTATTATCTTTTTTGGACTTATTTTTCTATTAAAAAAACGTCATGTTGAAATTGGTGTATATTTTCACGTATTTTTTCGAAATCCTATATATAGGCGACGGCAGCCGCCTAAAACTTGCGGCCAAAGCCGCCCGAGGCAGTGAGGTCATGTTTTGGCATGGCAACCGCAATCACCATATCGTGACCAGAGAGTTGGCAATTCTTCTCCAGAACTTGCTTGCGCGCCACGGCTGCGCTATCTTCTCGACCTTCTTGGAAAGCCTTTGGTCCGTGATGCGCCACTCGTAGATGCCTTTGTTGATTTCTTCTCGCAAGCTGCAGCGTAGTCCCAGCAGTAGCAAACCACGACTCGTGTCCTGTATGTCTTGCGCCAGCATGCGCAGTGGCTGGTCGCACCGCACGAGTGGCTGCCCCACCCGCACGGTCTGGTAGGGACAGTGTAGTTCAGGCGCGCCGTTTTGGCTAGACCTCTCTATGCTGTACCTCCACCAGCTCTCCGGTCGGGCCTTCTGTTCCTGACGCTCCGCGAAGTGCATCCGGCCCAGGACCACGCGCTCGAAGCTGAGAGTTCTGGTAACCTGCGCCTCAATGATGCGCTTCATCGCCTGGTGTTTTTTCTCGCAGGCTTTTGTGTCTAGCGCCAGCTGCCACTGCCGGAACTGATCCCGCTGGTGCAGAGCATAGTGGTGCTTAGGTTTGAAAGCAGCCGGTCCATACGTGCTTGAGAATTTGCGGTGGTGACTTTGCTCGAGTTCATGCAGCCCATCCAGTAATGCAGGCTGCAAATGAAACTGCAGAAGACTTAGCGAGAAGATGCGCTGGCACAGCGTCACAAAACAATCGAACTCGGCCGGTATGCGGTCTTTCTCAGGACCCATATATGTGACAGCGAAGAAGTGCAGCAAAGGCAGCGCACTCAGCTGGGTGCTCCCATCGATTCGCCAGAGCTTTTCTCCAAAATAGCAATCGCTCAGAGTCTTGCGCAGGGAGTCTAGAGATCGATCTTTGTGCAAGCTCTGCAAGTCGCGCGGCAGCAGCTCCGCCACGGCCGCTCTATTCAGTCCAGCTTCGGTCAATCTGTTCGTGAACAGATATGTTTCGTAGGCTGCTAGTCCACCGCTGTGGAAGTTATGCAGAACGTCGAAGCACGTGCTACTGGGCGGCGTGAGCCGCCGAACATCCTCGTTGCACAGGACGCTGTCCTCCAGCACGTGCAAGCCTGTGTTGCGCTGCAAGTCCAGAAAGGCGGCGTTGGAGATGTTGGGTCTTTCTGGTGCCAGACGATCTACAGCACTCCAGATCTGGGCGTCCATGTTGCGCTCAAAGGACTCCATCTTCTCGTGCGCCAGCGAATGCCAGCGTCCTCCTGCAGCGCAGATAGAGAAAACCAGAAACAAGGAGAACCTGGCGCACGTATTATTGCTTGCACGAGTCCTGGTCGGTCGACCCCGACCTGCTCGGCCCTGCGGGCCACAAGATTTCTGCATAGCCAGCAGGGCTTGCGACCGGCCGCGCCGCGCAAGCCGAAGAGTCCCGCGAGCGCGGCCTCGTCAGCGCAAACGGCTGCGATGCGAAGCCGCGCCAGTCTCACATCGCCGGCGCCCAGTCTCAGAACTCCGCCAGCTTCAAGATCCGCGCGCCAGGCACGCAGCAGGTAAGGGGCGCAGGTTGTCAGTCCACATCTGGCCTCGTGGGCTTTGCTGGCTCGCAGGGTGGCCATCGTCACCCAGCAATCAGGGTGCTGCGCGAGCAATCTGAAGTTCAGCAGCGTCATGTAGAAGCACACCAACAGTGATCGGTATTAGCTGCACGGTCTTGCAAATTGATTTTTACAACACTTGCTGGTCTGAACAGCACTGTGAATGTGAGTTTGCGAAACCTTCTTTGCTGCACTGGTGCTTAGCATGCGCTCATTGGTAGCTGAAGCAGCTTTCTGTTCCACTAATTGTTAAGCTGCCTGAAGAAAGACCTCAGCACACTTGTTTTCATGTGCTCCTCTGAAAAAGCCAATGTCTGCTAAAATGTCTAAATGTCTGTTAAGGTCCAGAGACCTACTTGTTTATCGTGCGTTTAGAGAAGGAAACCATTTTTAGCAGGCATTTCGTCCACAAGGCAGGGTGTGGCTCCAGGCATCCCTTTCTCGCTTGGACGCAGATCGAATACTGTCCTGGGTCGGCGCGTCTTCAGCCGCAACGAGATCCTGGGCTTCCAGCTCCTTCAGGAATCGCGCAGCCGAGCCGCTGCTCTCTCCTCGCCCATTCGTGAAGTTCACAGCCGCGTCTCTGAGTCTTCTTCTTTTGTTTTCGCCTTTCAGCAGCGAACGCGACTCCGCGGCCATTGCACGCCGCTCGCGCCAACCTGGCTTCAGCCGAGGTAGCAGCAGACGCAGAAGAACTTACTTGCTTCCTGCCACTCTACACATGCACGCGGAACGGCGGGAGCCGCCGGTATGTCTACACATCTAACGCGGAGCGACGGGAGCCGCCAGTATAGATATGAGTATTTATATATATATATATGTGTCCATCTACACGGGGCGACGGGAGCCGCCAGTATAGATATGTGTGTATATATATATATATGCCATGTGCTTGACACGAGCGGGTTGTTTTGCTGCGACCTTGCCAATATCCCCATGGCGGTCTGCCGGGAACCTTGCCCGCTCTTCTCAGCTGCTTCTTGCTCGCGAGCGCTCAGGGACCGTGGCCTTCGTGCTGGTAGCAACTCGGCTAGGTGCTCGGGTAGGAGAGAGCCACACTTCACCTGCAAGGGCTGTGCTCTGCCACACCGCTTCTTGCTCCAGAGCCATCATCGTCGCCTCCTCAGCCAGCGTCTTACCAGGCGAGGGGTTGGAGTCCGAGTCCACAACTTCAAGGGCTGAGGGTCTGGGTCTGGGACACTCGCCTTGTCCAGTAGCGTGGCAAGCAGGTCCACGTCGTCCAGGTTCAGCTGCTGGCTCTCGACTGGCTCGCAAGTGGCTTCAACCCCGCTCTGGCTTTCAGGTGCCTTGAAGAAGGAGCCAAGCTTCCGGATCTTGGCCACCTGCAGGGGCGCTCCTAAGTGAGTGCTTGCTTTTTATAGCGACAGCTGCCGCCCTCATCTATATACACGCGTATGGAAATATGCGTGATCCATATATATGCCTCACAGCGTTACAAGCGGCAGCAGCCGCAGCAGTCTGAACTTTTCCTGTCAGAGGACTCGCTCCCCTCGCCCTCAGTCCATGCTGTTCAGGTCCAGGGCCGCAGTGCCAAGCCGCGCGAGTCTGGCTGCCGGCAGTTCTTGGTGTGCGTGAGGGGGCAGTGCGCACAGCACCGTCTCTGTCCGGGAACGCAAGGCAGCGCGCAGGTTTGGCAACTGCCAAAGTCGCTGGAGTTCACAGTGTCCAGGTCCACAGAGTGCTGTCTTGCGCAGCGCGCCGTGTGGGTCTAGGGGCACAGTTCGCAGCACTGGCGGCGGCCCACCCCGCAGTCTCTTGAGCAAGCCACGCACTTGCGGAAGTACTGTGGGTTGGACGGGTCCCCGCTCAGGAGTCTTTGCCTTTCAGTGCAGCCACTTGTGTGACCGCGCCCCTTGCAACAGTTTCTGCAGCAGTGCGTGTGGTCGGTAGAGCACCTTCGGCTGCAGAGGTCGCAGGCGTGGGTTCGTGAACTCAAACGGCCAGCGCCGCTTTAGGGGGGTGGGCTCTGGGACTCACTGAAGCGGCGGCAGCCGCCGTAGTCACAAGCGGCATGCAGCCGCCACCGCCTTGCTGGTCGCGCGGACAACCTTTCACACACTCCCCTCTGGCGGTCTGCGCCGAGTGCCGAAGGCTCTTCTGTCCTTCCGCAACAAACACAGTCCGGGAGCCTTTGCTCCAGAAAAGCAAACTTGCCGCAACCACTCGGCCTGAAGCTCCGTGAGAACCATCGCAGAGGTAGACGAGGAGCTGGGTCTCAGTGCCGCCCGACTTCAGCCAAATCAAGAAGCAGGATCAAGGGATCCTTGAACCAGTACCTCAAACTTTGCACTGCAGCAGACAGGCTTCGCCCCACGAAGCCTGTCCCTGGAGCAGGACCCTTTTCAGTCCTCCTTCTGCTCACCTGCCTCGGAAGCAGTGAGCACGGTGTCCTCGGCCTTCCTCTTACGGCTAGCCTTGCCCGAGTTCACCAGCTCCGGCGTCTTTCCAGTCAACCTCCCACGAACAGGGCAGGCAGCTCCTTGTCGGGGGCCTTGGTGTAGGCGGTCACCACGGCGAGGAAGGCGGTCCGCCAGCTGAGCCAGCTGAGCTTGCAGGAGGCCTGACACCAAGGGCTCGCACTTCTTCTTGTCCTTCTGGGTCTGGTCCAGCAAGCCCACCAACTGCGAGCAGGCGCGGGCAGCGAAGCCGCTCTTCTTCTTGCCGCTCTTGCGGCGGTCAGCCTCCGCCTTCTTCAGCTGCTCCTTGCGGTCTGGCCGGCTGCTCTCGTCATCAGCTGCTCCAAGTCTTGAGGTCGCACCAAGGCCCCGTCGCCTCCTTGATCTGCTCCTGAGCTGCTAGAGGAGCGGCGCCTTCTGCGCCTGCCCCTACTGCTCTCAAACGGTCCCGCCATCGGGTATTTCGGGAATCTCCAACTGAACATCTTCTCAAAGTTACTCGGGAGTCTACCAAAATGGGCGGGAGGCTTGAAGCTCTGAAATCGCGACGGCACTGCTGCTGCCAACTCCCGTTGCAAACTGACTTGCTGCTTCAATGTCAGGACTGAGTCGAGCCTGCTTGCAGAAGCTCCATACTTGAATGTTTGGCCCTTCGGCTCTTGTTCTATACTGCCGCCTATGCACCTCAGGCATAAGCATAGCGACAAACACAGTTGCCTGGCGCCCTTGCGCCTACGTGGCTTTTTGGCTCTTGATTCTATAAATGCGTCAAACGATGAATAAAGCCAACAGGCTGGAACATCCACGTGGCCCTTCGGCTCTTGTTTCTACACCGATCAATGGCCCTCCGGCTCTTGTCCTACCTGAACAGGTGGCCCTTCGGCTCTTGCTCTCTTCCCGCGCATGCATATCCTTTGTACATGAAAGCAGCAATCCTTAAACCAGCTCCTACTGTCAGTCGAAGGCTTCAAGTTTCACCTTACTGATAAAGGCAATGGAGAATTTTGGCCAAGCGGAATATTAAGAAGTGTTGTGCGAAACGACGCGTTGTGTTTTGTCCTTGACTGGATAGTAGCAGCAGTTACTGCGGTGAGCCGTGTTTGGACGTCATACCCAGGTCATCGCCACTGTCTATGGAGAAGCCTGAGTGGCCGCATGGAGAGCAAAAGTGCTTTCGAGTCTGGAGATGTCATGTTGACGTACAAGACTCTTGTTACAAAGGTTTGGGCCGACTCTTGCTGTTGGGTTCTTCGCGAAGGAGGAGTCCTCCGAGGGGTCATTAGTGGACATGTAGATGACTTTTTGTTTGCTGGAAAAAGTGGCGACAAACTGTGGTCTTCCAAGCTTGAGGCAATCAAGGCCAAGTTTAAATGGGGGGCCTGGGACACCGGAACTTTCACTCAGTGTGGTGTTGTTGTTAAACAGGTTCCTGAAGGCATCGAACTTTCTCAACCGGCTTATCATTGACAATCTTAATGAGATAGGAGTGTGCGCGAGCCGTAGGAAGGACAAAACCTCCCCAACCAATGACAAAGAGAAAACTCAGTTGCGCGCTCTGTTAGGAGAACTCGCACCTTACTTGGCCGCAGAAGTGAATCTCCTCCTAACTGAGGTAACCAGAAGCACCGTGGACACGATCATCAAGGCCAACATCCTCCTCAGCCAGGCGAAGGCGCGGAAGGACCACATCACGAAGATCCATTCCTTTCGAGAAGAGGATGGTTTTGGTGGCGTGGGGATGACAATCAAGGCCTGGCATTCCCAGAAGATTGACAGGACCTGCTGGTCCCCTGGGGCCGCAGAGGCCCAAGCTGCTGCCATTACGGAGGAGGTCGCGGGTAACTTA